AAGTAAAAATGTAAAAAGGTAAAACCTAATTGTATTTCGACATTTCCCACACCCATAAGTGGACAGTGCTTCATTATAGTTCCTTTCCTTCTCCTTCATCGCTGCTCGGAATCCCGTCATTCACAAATTTGAGTCGATAAGTAGGTAAAGGAAGCCATTATTCAACAGCATCACATCCCCTTCTCATATTTCCTTCAAATCTTAGCATGTAACTTTTTTATGTTTTATTAATCTTAATTTTTCTAGGTTTTTTTATTTCTTTGTGTTAGTTATCATTGAAACATTGGTATTTTTTAAATTAGTTTATTGATTCACTAATAAAATTATGATGAATTATTTTTTTGTTCATTGATTTTGATGTTAATTTGTATTAAAAATTCATCTCTTGCCAATGACAGCTGGTTGAGCTTTCTTCCTCCCCTATTCTTAGCTCCCTTTAATTTCAGCTTTCTATGTACATTTATGTTAAATGTTAAGACATCATTTTAAAAAGGATGAATTACAAGATTTTAATCTTCATCCGCCACTGCTCCTATATGATTTGATTTGTGTTTCATAAATTTCTAACCTCTAGCTATTTAATTCTTGCTTGGTAGTACTTAGACAATAATACAGTTGTTTGCTTCATTATCGTGTAGATAACATTACAAGATTTTAATTTGCTGCTAAAATTGAGGTTAAGGTAATTTCAAAATAATAATTAAGTTAATCTAGATAATATTCGGATCAAATGCCTATCAAGATTACCTTAATATTGTTGGTTATACATGTAAGAAATAAACAGTCAAGAGGTAGAATTGGCATTGATTATTCTAAATAAAATGTGTTATAAAAGTAAGTCTATTGTAAGTAAAACTATAAAACTATTGAATTTTATAAACACCATTATTTAGCTCAATAAACCACTATCTAGATAACAATGTTGCTATCCACTGCTCATTCCTATTATTGACCTTCCAAATATCTAAAGTTTATCTGATTTATCAATGTTTTTGTATAGTCCTCATTTTATTTAGATTCATGCAAACATATACAATGTGCATTCTTATCAGAGTTAAATTATGACATATCAACCCTTACTTGCCTTTTAGTACAACCAGGTTAGACTATGAGATGTCATTTGTAAGTGATGTTTTAAAATTTTAATACATATGGGTATTAATAATTTCATCATATGGCTTATTTGAGTTTGTATATGGCTTTATGAAAAAAGTAGACATGTTTGGGTTGGGTAGGTTCTTCGTAGCCTAGTAGTTTTATCATGTAGATTATTCGTATCTATGGAGGAATACTATAGAGACATCAAATTGGATAATGGGTTAGTCATATTGATGTCCAGTAAAATTTTTTTAAGATTCTTTATTTGTATACAATATGATGTAGTTAATTTATAAGTTTTTTTCAACAAATTTGTGCTAAAGCTCTCTCTATATCTTCAGTTTAATATTAACAATGGATCAACCAAACAATCAATCCGCACCTTCAACTCAAAGTGTACGGGAAAAGATAGATATAGTTTGGAACCATTTTATAAAGTGTAAAACTACTAATGATAGGAAGCAATAAAAATATCTTTATTGTGGAACAACTAATAAGGGTGGACGTATTAATAAGATAAATCAATATCTATTAGGGATTAAAGGTAATATTGCTTCTTGCAAGAAGGTAGCACATGACATCCGATATCAAATGCAAAAAAATTTGAATGTAATATCAAAGAAAAAACTAACACAAGAAGACTTATCACAGTGTGGTGATCTATTTATTGGTGATCAAGTTGAGGAAGAGAGGGGCTCATGTTCAGTTACAAAATCATAATGTTCTGATATACATCGAAAAAAGAATGATAAAGGAAAGAAAAAATTAATGAAATAGATAAATTTTTTGCACCTAGAACAAAACCAGGATCTCAACAATCCCTAAAAAGTGTAATGACATATAAGGAGGCAGTGCATCGTGTAGATTTGACAATTGTTAGGTGATTTTATGATAGCTGCATTCCATTCAATGTTATCAATTCACCTTTTACATAAAAAACTATTAATGTAATTACTGCAATAGGACCTGATTATAAATTACCCTCTTACTATAAAGTAAGAGTGAATCTATTACGAGATGCTAAAGAGGAATGCAAGTTTTTAATTGAATCTTATAGAAGAACATTAAAAGAAACTGGTTGTACATTGATGGCTTGTGGTTGGACAAACATAAGGAGTAGGACATTGATAAATTTTCTTGTTATTATCATCATGGAGTTTCATTTTTAAAATCATTGGATGAATCATATATCATTAATGATGACACAATATTATGTTTACTATTCACTGATATTATTGGATGGGTTGGTCAAGAAAATATAGTTCATTTTGTAACAGATAATGTAACAAATTATAAGAAAATTAGTGAGTTATTACATGAAAAATTTAGAAATATCTATTGGTTACCTTGTGCTGCACATTGCATAAATCTCATTCTAAAAGATATTGGAAGCATGCATTATATTACAAAACTTGCAAGAAAAGTTTCAAAGATTATAATTTGTATTTATAATCATTCTTTTATATTGGCATGATAAAGGAGAAGGGAAAGTTGGACAGAAATTATATGACCAGGAGTAACTAGATTTGTAATAACATTTATTACCTTACGAAGTGTGCATGATCATAAGCATGATTTGCAAGCATTCATCACCACTAAGGCTTACATTGATTCAAAGTTAAGTAAGACAACAAAGAGAAAAGAGGCAGCTTCAATTATTTTGGATGTAAGGTTTTGAAATGACAATTTATAATTTCAAAATTATAAGGGCCCTTAATTAAGTTGTGAAGAATTATTGATGTAGATGAAAATCCATCTATTGGTTATCTTTATGATGGTATGTACATAATTAGAAAAGTAATGAAGGCCATGTTTAGAAATAATAAAAGAATGTACAAACTGTTAACTAGTATCATAAAGAGAAGATGGGATAATCAACTAAGACAAGGGATACATTCTGTAGCTTATTTTCTCAACCCTCATTTTCAATATGACAGGGAAAATTACTATAACAAGCCTGAAGTTATGCAAGGTCTAATAGAATTGATTGGCAATAAAGATGTATGTGCTCCATCTTTGACAATCAATGAGGTGAGGCTATTTCGTGATAATTTAGAAAGTTTTGGGAAGCCAATTGCATTAACATTGGCAAAAGAAATGCAACATGGTAAGATGATAAAATTTATGTGAACTATGATGTCTTTGTTTACAATAAATAATAATATATTTGAACATGTTAATGTATGTTTATTGATTTGTAGATGAATGATGGAAGATGTTAGACTCTAGTGCACCAAACCTATAGAAAGTAGCTATTAGAATTCTTAGTCAGACATCATCTTCATCAGACTGTGAGAGAAACTAGAGTGTGTTTGAGCAGATTCATACAAAAAGACAAAATCATCTTAAGCACCAAAGGCAAAATGATTTAGTATATGTTCATTATAATCTCAATTTAAGAAATAAGTACTATTTGTAACTGCTTTGAATATCCTTTTAAATAATGACGCTCATTTTATTATTAATTTTTTATAACAATTATATAGGTTGCAACTTAGAAAAAGAGGTTATGATCCTTTGGACTACACAAGTATTGAACTTATTGACTTTTGGATCCTTGATGATGAGCCAGCTTCAGAATTGCATCTAGAAGACTTGGAGTTAGAAATTTACAAAGATGATGCAATTCTTATAGATATAAAACCAAACTTAACATCAACTAGACCAACCTCAAGTAAGATTGTTGAGTAACTTATATCTTTTGAGTGTGATATAAAATATAGACTTATTATTTCAAATTAATGGTTTGCAGATGAAGACAATTTAGCTAATATATGTGATGAAGATGACATACCATGTGAGGATGCAAAAGCATTTGAGATGCAAGATTTTAGTGAAGGAGGGTTTGAGAATCCATCATTCGATCACACAAATTTATTGGATGATTATTAGATTTTAAGTTTTCATATGTAAACTGATATAAATAATTGAATGCTAATTACTACTTTTTTGTCTCCAAGGTATTAATTTAGAATTTTATTATCCTAATGAATTTTGAGTTTTTCTTATCAATTAGTATGAAGTGTTTTAATCTTGTTATAAATTATGAAGAGGTATGTTATATATTGTCTATTTTATATATATTTTTATTGTCTATTTTGTCATATATTTTAATTTATTTTCTTTTGTTCATTTTATATTTTAACATTTTCACATGATAAAGAAAGAAAATTGAAGATGGTATGCATTCAACAATACCCAACACACAAAAAAAAAAAAAAAAAAAAAAAAAAAAAAAAAAAAAAAAAAAAAAAAAAAACAATACCCAACACACAATAGAGCTTGACAAAAGTATGTGGTTTGATCAATTATTTACTTATTTATGAAATATGTGCTTATGTTTGATAGGCTTACTTGTGTCATATTTATCTTATGTGTTATTTGTTTATGTTTTATAAATATAATTTATGTCATATTTATGTTATTTGATTAGCTAGATATGAAAATCGAATGTAGATTGAATGCATTAGAGAAAAATTTCTCATTTATTTAATAATGTTTAATAATATTATTATTTATTGCATCATCTGGTTCGGCCCCGTTTGAACCGATCGAACCGTGAACATCTCATTCTTCTGATTTGTTGTCCGATCTGATTTTCAAAACCTTGATATTACTATGATTTTAAATTGTTGCACCGAAATGGCCCTAATCATTTGACAACTACTTTTGTATATTTGACCTAATGGAGTTTACACAACTCTCCTTAGCCTATTGGTTGAGAGCTTAGGCTTCCAATTAAGAGGTTCAGGGTTCGAGTCTATGTGTATGCGTTGTGTGTGTGAGTTTGCCTTAAATGACCTAAATGTCCCAAAAAAAAAAAAAAAAAAAAAACCTAATGGAGTTCGAATCTGACAAAGTTGAACTTAGGTTTTCAACTCTTTATGAGTGTTTTCATGTCGCACCCTACCCGTGAACCCAATGACACCCTGCTCGATCGAACCCTGTCGAGTGCAGCTCCTACATATCCACCAGTCCAGCTAGGGTTTTTCTCAGTCGCAGTTCCAAGATGTCGTCGGAATCGGCATCTGCCTCAAACACGACGCACTCGACCTCATCGCAGTATTCTTTCTTCGGGAGCTCCTACTTTCCTCTACCATTCCATCTCCAAAACGCAGGTCCTACGCCTAATCAGCCTTCATACTTGTCTACCCCAACGGCCCCGCCGCCGGTTAGGATTCCGTCCGTGCCCCAGGTTTTTCCTCCATCCTATGCTGGGTCTTCGACTGGGTTGTATTCATTGCCTCAGTACCACCAGGTCAGTTCGTTTTCATGCAGCATTTTCTTGTAAACGCAAATGATCAAATTGCTTGTTCTCCGGAAAATTCTGCATGGAGGGATTTGCAAATCAATATGGTTGAAGTAAAATAGGTTCTTGTTATGATTGTTAGATTTCTCATGTATGGCTGAAGAATAAATTAATAAAAGGCAGTTTGTGTTGGATTGTGATTTGTCCATGAATGATACTCAACTTTACTAGCATGCCTACCTGATGAGCTAATAAGTTGGAACTTATATGAGAATGGAAACTAAAGAGAGAATGATACTCATGGAGGGAGGTGACCATCTGTCAACTTCTCGCTTCAGGAACAATGACTTGGAGGAGAATAATGTGGGAGACTGTGGTAGGGGTTAAACCGGGAAACTAGGAAAGGCGAATCAAGCGTGCAGGACCTGGGAGGCCTGTTCTTCGGCCAAAGGAGTGGCTGCATGATATAGCACATGGAGATGACCCTGTCACCATATCAAAGGCAAGAGCATATGAAACTCAAGCCATGAAGGAGCTATAATGATTTACATCATTTCATATTATCTTTTTAAGCATTTTCATATTTATGTACCGTATGTGTATCAAGACCTAGTATTGTGTCGATGTGTCAAATGAATATTTTATGTGCAGAAGGGCTAGATAAAGTAGAATTAAGTAGCCAGAGAGTGATGTGGCTGGCCAAACAATTGGCTAGAGAGTGGTAGGATGGCCAAGCATAAAGGAGGCAGTAGTTATGGTGGTTGTTAGTGGGCCAAAGGGTTTAGCCTCTCCCTCCTCTCATTTCTTTCATTATTTTTTATTTTAAATGAAGGAATGCATCTTTTCATGTGTGTTTCAGTTGTATAAAACATTTTAAGAATGAAATGAAGGGTGATTATTGAGTTTAGAATTTTTCGAGTAAATTTCAAAGGGCTAGAAGGCTTGGTAGTTGACCATTCCAAGGAGATTGGGTGATCTTCTTGGATTCATTATTTTGGTGATTTGGCTTTAATTTTATTTACTTTATATTTAGTGCAAGTCTCCGTCATTTTGTTCAAGTGTGTATAATTCATAATAAAAAAACTAAAAATTCCATTGATTTTTCTTTGATTCTAAATCTAATCCTATCTACTAGACTCAACCAAGAAAATTTGTCTTTGCTGGATTAGTCTTGTTTCTTATGTTGTTTGACTTACCAAAATTACATAAAATTAGATCAAATTCTTCATATCATTAGTTTACAACCCATACTATAATAAATTTAAATTTATTTGTGTTTGTTTTAGTTAAACTCCTGTAGAACTAATCAGTTTTAATTCTTGTGTTTGTTATTTCTGTCTTGTATTTTTTTTAGTCACAAACAAATTCCTAAAAAAAAAAACACTAAAACTCCACAAAAATTGTTCAAATTTTTAGATCAAATCTAGGATGTTTTCTAAAATTTTTTAGTTATTATTGAATTCCACAAGTTCTATAGGTAATCAAAACTAAATCTCTAACAGTGGTCTGTTCTTGACTGAGCTGAACTATATCCGTTTCAAAGCATGTTTGGACCACTCAAACCTATCCGATATCTAGCAAAACTTATAGAAATAAGCTTGACAACATCACCGTCAAATCAAGGTTAGATTTGCTGGACTTAGATATCTATAAAGGGAGAATTAATTGGTAGAAGTTTGATTTGTATTCTTTGGACACATTTCATAGCTTTTGACCTACTTCCACATTTCATCCACCTTCAAAATACCTCTATTATAAAAATTGATCTTGACTCTTCTAATTATATTAGGAGACTCTCACACATTCACCAATTGATCACATTAGTGATCTAAAGCTCCACCATCCAACCCTCATCATCATTTTGTTATAAGGGCTTTGTTGATTGGTGGACATCAGTTGCATTCAGACAAAAAAATGGAGTTTGGAGAGGCTTTTACAAATTTGGATTGAAAATCCTAAAGAGATAATCTCACTTTGAGTTTGGTAAACTTCCTTTCATGATATTTTATTTTTCATTGATAATTCTTGTAGTAGATTACTTGTTTGATGTAATTCTATTAACTAGTGCAATGATGTCAATTAGTTGCCTCCACATATTACAGACCATAAAATTATCAAACCTTAATTTATTAAAGAGGATCCAATTCAGTGAGGAATTTTCCACTAAATTATTTAAAACATCACCTTGATTCCTACTAAAATATGAAATCATATCTTAAACATTTAGGATTTTATCCTAATTCTCGTTTAGTTTTTTTGTATTTGTTTTCTTCTAATTGCAATTTGCAATTTTGTTAAGGCTTTAAATTAATCTTTTAAAATCATTTGCATGAATTTTATTTATATCAGCAAGCATTTCATATTTAAAAAAAAAATAATAAATAAAAAAATAAAAATATTACAAAATCATAGTCTTCATTATTGCATCATGCCACCAAAGTGAACTAATCATGATTAAATAGACATTACCAATAGGAGGATTGATGAGTTAACTCTTCAAATTGATGAAAAATTTAACAAACTTCAAGAGCTCATTTTAACTTAACCATCCAAATTCAAAATTTAAATGCTAGGATATAAACTCCTCCATTAGAAACCCTATAAACATTGAAGCAATAGTTGAAGAGTACGTGTAAAACTCCAAGAAACACATACCAAGAAGAATAAAACCTTTGAAGAATCCCCACAGAAATCAAGAAATATTTATTGAACCCCGAAAAAAAGGTTAAGGTAGATGCCCTATTTATGATGGAGTTTATGACCCCAGTAAATTCTTTGATTGCATTATTCAGATGGATGAGTTGTTTTGATTGATATCAAATGGATGACTACCAAAGAACCATCTTTATTAAGATGAAGTTTATAGGCATAAGAAGCTAAAATTTATTGGGCCAATATCTTAATGAAGGAGGCAAGGATAGGGAGATATTTACTTACGTGAGTTGAGATGAAAGAAATGCTAAGGGCTAAGTACCATCCTAGAAATCATGATAAGAAATTACCTGAATAATTGATAACTCTTAGGCAATGCAATATGCAAGTGTTCGAGTACATGAACTTATTTAATGATTTGATTGCTTAGACCAGTAGCATAGATCAAGAGTGGCAATTAGCTAACAAATGTACTATTGGTATTAGGAGTGAATTCATATATGAGGTTGAGTTACAAAGCCCTAGGACCAATTGCACAGATCAAGAGTAGCAACTAACCAATAAATTCACTATTGGACTTAGGAGTGAGATCAGATAGGAGGTCGAGCTATTAGTCCCTCAATTATAGAAGATGCTTTTCATTATGCTTTACTTCTAAATAAGCATAAGAAGACAACTTATTCATCTTAAACTATAGATTCAAATTCATCCCTTCAATCATTCTCATATTTTGCCTAGATATCTTCTGCAAAGTCTACACCCTTTTCATCCAGTACCTAGCCTAATAGGAGTATGATTGAATCATCCTCTAAGATTAAGGAGTTCAACATTGGGGATCATGTGTTAATAAGAATTCATCATGAGAGATTTCCTTCTATTCAATTTAGAACATTATAAGTTAGGGCATGTGGGCCATTTGGCATCATCACGAATGCATATGTGCAATGTTTAAAATTACGCAATTGGGTATTGAGGCATTTGGGTATTGAGGCATTTTTTGTTTATGAGGCGAGGGGTAAGCCTCAAGTCGTTTTGAGGTGTAAGTCTCAAAATAAAAAAATTACGTAAAGTGATAATAAATGTTAAAAATAATTTTTATATAATACCTAAATAATACATTAAATGATAACATGTGAACTTCCTATTGAATTATGAATTAACAAATTGACATACATATGAAATAAAAAATTGCACAAGATATAAAGTGAAAAGTGATAAATTGCATGAAATAGAATTAAAATTCAAATATTATAAGAGAAAACAATATTAAATATAGAAATAGCATAAAAGTATCATATAACATCAAGTTTAACTATAATTTTTTTCCCTTAATTCTCTATTCATTTACAATTAATTTATAATGAAAGCTTAAATAGTTGATAACAACTTAGGAATCATCTGCACTATCATCACTAAGGTGGTCTTTATCTGAGTTGTTTCCACAATAAATTGGTCTGTCCCTTGCTTCATTCGATAGAGTTGAATGCCTCCCAATATACTTCTTTTTAATTTATTTCAATCATGTTCATCTTTTAAAAATATTTTCATTAACATAAACATGAGATTAATCCTAAAAAATTTTTAGGGTGGTGGTGTACACCTTTTAAGTGATTGTTGGTGATGGCTATGACGGTGTTGGCTGCAGCGAGGGCCGCGGGCTAGAGGTAGAGGCAATCAAAAGGAAGTTGTTGCACTTGAATGTGCATGAAGGCGTGATTTATGTTAGTTTTTTTATTTTTAATTTTTAATTTTTTTAATTTTTAATTTTTAATTTTTAATTTTTTTAAAAAGGGGTGCAATACGAGGACTTCTCAGGAGGTCACCCATCCTAGTACTACTCTCTCCCAAGCAAGCTTAACTGTGGAGTTCTGATGGGATCCGGTGCACTGGTGCTGGTATGGTCACACCCATGTTTTATGTTAGTTTTAACAAAAAAATATATACAAATAGGGTGAGACTAGACATAAGCCTCATGCTAATGAGGCATGGCAGGCCTCAACCAAGCTGAGGTGCAAGACTCATAAAAAAGCTAGAGGCGTAAGTCTCGAAGCGTTTTTCACTAGAATTACGTTGATGCGGGCCTCAAGGCGAGCCTCAAGTTGCACAATTTTAAACAATGCATATGTGATTGAATTGCTAAAAGACATATTTATCAACCCAATTTTTAATGTGGAAGATCTTATATCATATAAAGGATTTAGCCAACCTTCAAAGAGGTAGTAAATTTCTTTTTTAGGAACATCATATCATTCTTTGCAGGACCCAAATCGCCATTTTTTTTTTGAAGTGGACCACATCATCATACATGAGGAGGATTAGCTTGGTGATCATAGGTTTCTAGTGAGGTGAAGAGACAA